CCTGAAACTTGACCGTTGCCTGTCTCGTGAGCTGTTTCCATCTCGTCCGGTCCTCAGCTGCTCGAATGGCGGTTGCGACTGGCAACCCAGTTAGAGCGGTTACTTGATCACACCAACGGCTAGGTAATCGGCCGCGGGGTCTCTTTCCTTCTACTTTGCCCGTCACAATCACTTTGTCCAAGTTATCTGACTGTCGGCGGGCAATATGACCGAAGTAGCTGAGGATCTTCTGGTAACAGATTGTTGAGAGCCTGACTCGGATGCGAAGCTGATCCAGGATAGATTTATTTGTCCTCTTGGCCGTCCACGGAATTCGGAGCATTCGTCTCCAGCACCACATTTCAAATGCGTTTATTTTCTTGCGCTCGGACGCCTTAATTGTCCAGGACTCTGCCCCGTAGAGAAAGATTGAGAAAACTAACATACATACAGTAGCAACCGGGTAAATTTTAAAAAAGGCGCTGAAAGTTATTAGAATAAGATATAGAAATAAAGAAGGACGAACGAACTGTAAGCACTACAAAATCACAAACATATTTTATTTAAAGCTGATAAGAAAATGCAATCGATGTCTCCACGTTTTACCACAGCAATAATTTTAGGTTATATTGTCAAAATTAGTTTGTACTACGTAAACATTCATTAAATATATTAAATTTCCTAACTCAGCATACTTCAATCAGTTAACACTGCTCAATTCATATCATACCCTGTGCCTATGCTAGCGCCATTCTGGTGGTTTTTGAACTAGTGGGAACCTTTTTCTAGGTTCTCCCATATGAGACGGTTTTCCTTTCCTCTACCCTCCATAGGGTAACCTAGTTCACTTGTCACCTGATGTTAAATGTTAACAGAGCTCATGGGCGACACAACGTTCGTAACACCGATCATCTTGAGACTGTGACATCTCGATCTTTATTGCTTAATAGACACACTTTAACTAACAAATTCATATTAGGTTTGAGTTTGGTAGATGGCGTCATTACAATTAAAATAAAAACAGGTACTTACGTATTAACGCCACCGCGGCAAAAATTCTATTAAAAAGCCGATAAAAAGCAATATTTAAGTTTTTATATAGTAGCCTTATTGTTTGCACGCAGCAACTTTTTATTTATTTGCGCACGAAGCTATCTTTTGGTTTTCTTATTGTTTGCTGATTTTTAGCTGATTTTTGAGCTTAAGTTTGAATCCGCCTTATCTCCGGCGCTGCGGGAAGAGCAGCCCTTTCGCCCTTGCGTGCCGAAGCACGGTTACTAGTGCTCCGCTTCGTAGCTTCGGCTTGTTGGTCGACCAGGCTCAGCCGCTGCGCCTCGCACTGTTTCCGTGCTCCGTCACAGCGGGCGAGGACTGCTCTCCCTCCGCAGCCCGGGACACCAGTGCTAAGTGGCCCCTATTGTTTGTGCTGTGCGATTGTGTGTGCCCAAAGTGCGAGTGTTCTATCTAGCGGTGTTGTTTCGGCGCGGAGACGTTCCGAGCAACGTAACGCAGGACCCGGGACCAGGTGAGTTGTTCGACACTTTCTTTCCTAACATTGGTTAATTGCGGGTAGTTGTCGTTCAGCCNCAAGCCCATCGTATTATGTATAAGTATATATGTTTTGTCGATGTAGTGCAGCCGTGCACGCTGCGAACAGCGTACCTTCCCCAAGTCCTCCCCGCATCTAATTCACCCCTGCCCTATGTGGCAGGGAGCTCCGTCCCGGGTAGTGGGGTTTGCCCCGAGGCCCGTTCCGTGCCCCCGAAAGGGGGTACGACGACCCTTCTTCTTCTTCTTCTCTCCCTCCGCGTCTCCAGTTTTCATATACACTCTAGGGGTAGGGCAGACAAGACCAGGTGGAAAGTGGGGTGCTCTGATTCGCTTTTCCATATTTTTCGAATATTTATGCAATTTTATTACCAACAAAACACGAGCAATTTTACTATTATAGAATTTTTGCCGCGGTGGCGTTAATACATAAGTACCGAAAAACATGATTTTATGCCACAAATTTTAATTCCGTATTGTTTATTACAATCTAAATGTCGTTAGAACATACGTGTTGAAATGTAATAGCAAAATCTCTGTTACCTCTCCCAAGAATGAATGCGATGAATAGGCGATATAAGTTCAACAACCAGTCTTTGTCTTACGACAATGATTTAACATAACATCAAGCGCGCATGTTTGCAATAAATTTCCAACACAAACTTCTCAAAGAAGTCGTAATATTATGACTTAAAGTGAAACACAAAGCAGTAAAGAGTCTTATAACAAAGTTTCGTTCCAATTAGGCCGCTCATGTCGCGACGCGTTTCACAATTTCCAGAGTCGCAACACACGCGCGTAATGTCGTCTAACGAAAGGAGAAATGAACGAAGTGGAAACGGACCTTCGACGTACAAAAATGCCGCATAATAATAACTTTTACTCGGTGCTGTAAGAGTTCCCCGTGATGAATTCGGTTGGCATTTGGTTTTTCTTTTGTTTGTTTAAAGGACGCTTTGACTACGATTTATAAATTTTCAACTCCGAAGTCATCTTCAGAAGCAAATTACATGAAATTTCGTGCTTCTCATTGTGGAAGTGACGAACTTCCACACGCAAATAGTTAAAAACGCTAATACAGAAATTTTACGGTATATATATGTATTTTTTTCTTGACATTATTTTTCTTTTTTGTTGTTTGGATTCTTTGGCGAGCTCTCACATCCTATTTGATGTTAAGTGGTTAACGGAGCCCATAGTCATCAACAACGTAAACGGCGCTATCTATCTCGAAGGCTTTTTTTTTGCTTCGCTTCACCCTGCCTATTTTTGCCCTGAAGCAGTAATGCGTTTCGGCTTGAAGCTTTGAGGCAGCTGCTGTAACTATATAGACACCTTAGAACTTATATTGCAAGGTGGGTAGCGCATTTACGTTGTAAATGTCTATCGGTTTTAGTAACCAAACACCAGATGGTCCATGAGCTCGTCCACCAATCTATGCCATAAAAACTTAAAATACTATACACTTGTGCCGGCATAGAATTCGCTGTGGCTCCAACAGTGATTGATTCTAAGTTGGAGACCAACTCATTATATTTTAGTATAAATAGGTTTATTAGTATAAAGAGGTTAAATTACATAAATAGTATTAGTAAATACATATTAAATTACATATAAATAGTCTGTACCGAAAATTTTCGTTAACACTTACCGAATTCATGTTGAGTTTTTCCAATTGAATTCACAGTATTAATGATTAGTATAACGAAACATAATTGAAGCATTTCTGTTACGAAAAATTCAATAAATGTTGTTTGGCGAATAAATGTGATGTTAGCGACTCCGCGACGCTAATAACACTGTAAATTAATAACTTCTGTACTGTTGTGACGCCGGTAATGCGATAACGACACAGGAAACTTTGAACTTGTCACATTTTATCAAAACAATGAATATGTTTTTACGAGACGGCAGCACGTACATTAAAACTTCGAATACTCAATAAATATTTTTTAATTTGGTATCGAATACAACTTAGAATCGTATCCGGGCCTTCTGGTGCAGTGGTCAAGGTTTGGAGACTGAAAAGTCGCTCGAGACAATCTGTGTCAACGAGCCAGCGCCTTATCATCAGAATTGAGATATTAAGAATCTATAACTCTTAAATTATAATTCGTATACGTTTTGATGTAGTAGCAAAGCTGATTTTGTGAATTTTTATATGATTCTAGCTGACACGGCAGACTTCGTAGTGCCTCAATCAATAAATAAAAGACCTAAACTTTTGTATAAAATAAACTTAAAACAAACCAAAGGAATCCGTCCGACGGGGGACACATCAAAGGAAAAACAAAATTGTTATTTTTATTTAATTCCGAGCATTTTCATATTTATTTACCTTTTAAACCTTCTCTGGACTTCCACAAATCACTCAAGACCAAAATCGGTCCAGCCGTTCTCGAGTTTTAGCGAGACTAACGAACAGCAATTCATTTTTATATATATATGTAGATAGATAAATGAAAAAAAAAGATAATATTTTGACAGAAAAATGACCAAACAAAATTTTTACCCAAGTCCACAGACCTCGTGCGACTTCATTTGTTTAATGTTAAAACCATAACAGACCGATGTTCTTAATGTATTAAACATACGATCACGCCTGATCGAATTCAAACATGAAGTTCGTCTGGTGCGGACAAACACGTTTAAATTTTAATCATTTTACGACATTACGATTACTTACATTGATATGACAACGAGCCTGCTAAAGAAAACTATATCTGGACTATACCTAATTAACAATTTTCAAATTTCGCCTCCGTTTATCTCTATGTAATCAATAAAACTATTATAATTATCGATCTTTATTTCCCATAGTTCACGGAACCCTATTCTAGATCCAGATGGCCGTGTGTGATTAGTCCCCAAATATTTATAGAATTTTGAGCGATTCATAAATAGAGACCGAAAATGAATTAAGATGCAAATGTTTTGAATTTGGGCTCAACAAAATTTTAATGACTAATTATAATGTACGAAAAACGTTGCGTGTTTTTTTTTTTGTTTTCGCAAATAATAAATAAATGTTTCATTTTACGCCATCGATTTTTTTTATTGCCCTTGTAGGCAGACGAGCATACGGCCCACCTGATGGTGAGTGGTTACCGTCGCCCATGGACTTCAGCAATGCCAGGGGCAGAGCCAAGCCGCTGCCTACCGCTTAATGATTATACACAGATTTACGATTTCTTTTGAACTATACAGAGTGATCGAGCTCAGGGTGATACTGACATTAACCGATCATCAGATCTCATATACACCGAGGTCGAAATCTCAATAGTATGTTATAAAGGCAGTTCCATATATTATGTAAGAGCTCATAAAAAAAGCCCTCTATCTAATTTGAATTCACAAGAACTCATTTGAAATCACAACAGTCAAACAACGAAAACACTGGTGTTCGTCCTGTCTCGAATCTGTTCACACCTGTGTGCTTAGTGCGAGTTTTTGAACGTTCTCGATCGTGTAAAAGTTAACTCAAATATATATGGAGTTGGAACAGTTTCCTTTCGTTTACCGCTAGTTCCAACTTCATACAAATATATACGACTAACCTTAATCGCCCGCTTCGCTGGGCATTTAAAATTATCATTGTTATTTATTGTCATTATTATTAGGGAGTCCAACACTCATATAGATATTAGCCTATCCATTAAGTACATGTATTTTCTACATGGATACCAAGTTTCAAGTCAATCGGATGCATGGTTCAGTAGTTATAACGGAACATCCGTAAAAACCACTGTTGATTTATATATCTATATATTAATACGTGAAGCAAAAACTTTGTATCCCTTTTTACGAAAATTGCGCGGACGGAGGAGTATGAAATTTTCCACACTTATACAGAATATAGAGAAGAAGTGCACAATCCTAATATTTTTTAAAAATAATGCATAAAAGATACATTAAATCAATAAAGAAAACATTACACACACTACATACCATGTATTTGACGCACACACGCATGCACACTAGTCAAACTTTTGTTCTTGACGTCTGTTGTCAAATTGAGAATAGATTAATTAATATCGTTTACCTCTGTTAATATTTTTATAGTGTAGTCTTGGCGAAATTTGTGATTATAGAAGTATAAAATACAATCATAATAGTGTACAAACTTACAATTCCAATTAATTATAGTCGAATTTCGACTACTGCGGGACCACTAGTAAGTATAAATACGCGATCGAGAAGTTAAAAAACTCGCACTAAACACACTGATTGTGAGGCGCTTGTTGTGACAGCGCGTTGCGAACGTGAATTTTCCTGAAATAAAATCTCCATTCTTGTTATAGTAAAGCATTTATAGGGACGCTATCAAAAATCGTTCAGGACGTAACATCGCAATTCCCCGAGGTAATAACCATAGAGGATTCTAATATCCGCCCGTAATGGGACCAAACTACAGAACAATGCACGGATAACGATAGAATACCGTGCCAAATACAATGGAATAGAATTCTTTTTCGCTTATTTGTCTTCAATGTTCACTTTCAAAAAAATGTACAAAATATTTAAACTGATTATGTGTGATCTTCTTCATGCATGAATAGCGGATGCGGTTTCCTTGGGTGAATTGTCATGGTCTATAGAAGATGCTTCTTTTCGAACCTTGTTAGAAGAACAGTATGTGTGTTCAAGAAACATCGTTAAGGCCCTAAACAAAGGTTTATAAATATTAGATTAGATTTCAAAATGGAATTGATCCACTTTTTTTATTATAGCCATAAATAGCCAGATGATCTCACACTCATTCAGCACATGAAATCACAACGTTAATTGCCGTGCCGTTGCCGTTACCGTGAAATAGGCAGCCATACTGTCTATTTCACGGCAGAAATAGGCAGTTTGGCTGCGAGCTTTAAGCTCGGGCATAGTCACATCACTCGATACGATTACAGAGCTTGTCTTATTCCTTAAGCTACGACGACTTTCAAAGTTACAAACTGTCAAACAATTCGAAGCTTTGAAAATGCTTTGAAATGAAATATTTGACACTGAAATTAATATGTATTTTATTTAAACCAGTAAACGTCCAGTGGATGACGGATTTCGTGCAAATGAAAATGATTAATTCAGACTAAAACGAAGTCTTCAATGCTTACGTCACTTGTAATTAATTTGGTATCAAATCGTCTGCGGTCAGTAGGTATCGTCCTATAAATATTATATAGAGTTGTTTTCCTTCCTCGTTCGATCATAGCAAAGCTTCAGACAGATTTAACGAGATTTTAAACCGAGGTTTAGCACATTGTCCTTTTTGATTAACTTCATTTACTTTGATCTTAAAAAAATGTGTTTTTCTTTGATCTTAGCGTCTATGATTGAACTGGTTTTATTTTACTGGAATCGATAGATATAAAAATCCTCATGACCTCATCTCTCTCCTTGAAACATCTCAAAGTCTTTGAACCGCAACGCATAACAGCTTCGCGTCAAAATTAAGCAGTAAGATGATGCCAGCCAATATGGGCTATAAAATAAGCCTAAATAAAACGAATAAAGTTTTAAACTAAATTAAATATTGCGTATGACAATTATCAACACATGGAAGGCAGTTAATGTATTATTTGAAATGTTAAACATAGTGTACATATTATGTAATGATGACACTAAATAAATGATTTAGATACGTTTCGGGCCATAATACCGATCCCGTAATTTAGTTGCGAGTTAAAAAGTGTGAATCAATAAAACGAATGTCTGAAATAATCATCATCAATCCCAGTCACCTGAGGCCGGTGCAACATGTTTTCTCCTTCCATAGTCCTCTAGCATATACAATTTCTTCGCTCACTCCCCTTTTCGGATATCGCCTTTCACGCAATCTACCTATTTTTACCTCTAAAGTCCCTTCCGCATTCAGAGTTAAAACTCTCTTAACAACCTCATTGTCATTTCGTCTCATCACATACCATCCCAATGCACTTCTCAACTTCTCAGTCACAGGTGCCACTTTCAGACTTCCTCTTTTTTTATTGCTTAGATGGGTGGACGAGCTCACGGCCCACCTGATGTTAAGTGGTTACATACCCATAGACATCTACAACGTAAATGTGCCACCCATCTTGAGCTATAAGTTCTACGGTCTCAGTATAGTTACAACGGCCGCCCCACCTTTCAAACCGAAACGTATTACTGCTTCACGGCAGAAATAGGCGGAGTGGTGGTACCCACCCGCGCCGACTCACAAGAGGTCCTACCACCAGTAAACCTCTAACATGAAACTCTGGAAAAAACATATTCAATTTAATTTTCAATCGTGATTGTTGATCCTGTTCATACTCTTCTCTGTGCGCTCTTTGATAGTCGCTTGCCTGGTTTTTGTTTTCTTTATTTCATCTGGCTCCGGCTCCGAAAAGACCACTTTTATGTTTCCCATCTGAAAAAACATGGTGATACAACAGAAAGCCGATACGTTCCGGAAATGTTTCGGGTGTCGGCGCCCTCGCCCGAGGGGCGTAATAAACCCTTGGTAATTAAATGTTTGAGAGGTTCAAACCCTTTTCTATTTATCACGGAAAGTCGAACGTTCTAAATGCTGTTCTATCAAAAGTTACACGCGGCATGGCGTGGTGGTTTTAAGTCCAAAAATTACATCGAGTATTGGAATGGAGGCATGAGAATGTATTTTAAATGCCAGAGAGTTATAGGAATATTAGCTGGCCCGGCAAACGTTGTTTTGCCATATGTCGTATATATCTGTTTACGGTATCCATATCCTAGCAGTCGTAGCACGTGGAATGTATATTTATAGTTTTAAAATAGTATTGACGACAGAAAACAATA